GGCCCAGCCCCAGCGCCCCAACAGCCCCTTCTCGGCGCCGAGTGACAGGCGGCGGGCGAAGCTCGGCCCTTACCCGACCCGGAGACTCGGCAACTTGGAAGCACAGATGTGCAAAGCGAGCCCGGGGCGCTCTCCACGGTCCCTGCTCTCAGGCGGCTTACTCACCGGCTCGGACACTTTCCTGTCCCTTTGCCGCAACCTCCCCTGCCTGGTCCGCCCGCCGCCTCCTCTCCGCCTCCGCCTCTGCAGCCGCTAGCGCCGGCAGGATGCCACTCCTCGAGCTACTTCCTCCCCGTCCCTCGCTCCGTTCAGCAGCAGGAAGCGGTCCTGATCTTAAATAGTTCCCCTGGAACTCACTTATTCTGCCAAGAGGTTCCGGCGCGGCTCCGGAAGTAGCCGCTCTCCTTGCATCCAGTTCTTTCTATCCCGAAAATGACTACTTTGCGAGTTCACCGCCGAACTGGCAGTATTTGAATAATGAAGCCTCCTTTAAAAAAAATAAAAATAAAAATCTTTATTGTTGAAGGTATTACATATGGCCCCCTTTCCCACCCATAGTCCCCTTCCAGTCCGCCCCCCCTTCCCCCCCCCTCACCCCTTCGCCCCAGGCCTTCACCACCCTATAGTCTGTGTCCTCAGGTTATGCATAAATGCATAAAGGTCTTTGGCTGAAGCCCCCCACATCGCTCCCTTGTTTTCCCCAGCTGAAGGCAATAGAAAGACGAGCCTAGTCACAGAAAGCTAGGAATTTTGATTTATTTGTAGCAGGTGAGTCTCCTGTAGGCACATAGATGGATGCATGCACAGATGGGGTCGACAAATATCTATTAGGCCCATACTATGTGCAAACTGCTGAGGACACACAGCCAAGTCAGAAATGGACTCCACCGCGGAGATTTCCCACACTTTAACTTTCAAAATACCAGAGTTTTATCCAGGATTTTAAGGCTATATGTCAACTTGCCCTTTCACTTAATATTAACCACCAGACACTAACAGAACACTTCTGGGGGTGGGGGGAACTTTTAAATTTGTTATTTGCCTGATTTTTCCACAGCACATAGCCACGTGAGTTTTACTATATATTTAGAAAAAAAATAAGTGGTAGGGTAGGGGGGATACAATTTCAGTAATATCAGTGAAACACTTGGTGGTTTCCTAATAAATATACAGGTTAAGCACAAATTAACCAGATTTTCCTTTAACGGTTCTTCACTCGGGATCTTCAAAGGTTTGTCCACTTGGTTCTGAAAGAGAAAGAATACCTTTTGCTAGTTAGCTTGTAGTGGAGAATGCATGGCCTTTAGGTCTAGACACCCATAGGTTTAAATCCTAGTCCTGTGACTGACTAGCTTTGTGATTTTGGTCCGATTTCTTGGTGCTCTGCCCTCAGCAAACTGTATATTCTGATGGGAGGAAACATTCTAGTGCAGTGGTTCTCAACCTTGGCTGCACATTAGAATCACCTGGGAATCTTTTTAAAATCCTGATTTCTGGGCCTCATCCTCCGGAAATTCTGTTTCTTTGATTCACGGTCAGGGCACATGCTGGGGTTGCGGGCTTGATCCCCAGTGGGGACCATGCAGGACGCAGCACATCAACGATTCTCTCAACATTGATGTTTCTCTCTCTCCCCCCTTCTCCCTTTCTGAAGACAATAAAAATGTTTTTTAAAAAAGATATGGGGAGGAAAGAAGAACTTGGAAACGCGGGCAGAGGCCTTAGTATCAGGCTGATATTAAGATCTTATCTTAGCCCTAACCGGTTTGGCTCATTGGATAGAGCGACGGCCTTCAGGCTGAAGAGGGCATGTACCTTGGTTGCGGGCACATCCCCAGTAGGGGGTGTGCAGGAGGCAGCTGATCGATGTTTCTCTCTCATCGATGTTTCTAACTCTCTATCCCTCTCCTCTCTGTAAAAAATCAATAAACAATATATTTAAAAAAACAAACAAACGCTAAGCAGGAAAGCCAAAGGATTTCCTAGGTAACAAATACAGGGGCTCTCCTCTTCTGTAAGCTGAGGACCAGGTCCAGGGCTTAATCATGAGAGTAGCAGAGCCTCAAAGAAGATTAAACTCTCAATATTGGCAAGTCTGCTATGCCCAGGACAGGGTACTAGTTGGGAAAGAGTGGAACCTTAACAATGGGATGGAGACATCTGGCAGAGTACACACAGGACTGACTTCTGAAGGTGCTGGAACGAGGGGACAGAATACAAAGTTGAACAGGGGAGACTTAATTCGAAAGCACTCTCCTGGGATGGGGATCCAACCACCATGGCAAAGATCTCAGGAGATAGTACAAACATGCTGCTAGAATGGCTTCCTAAGCATGGAGAGTGACGGCCCATACTACATGAGGTCACGATGCCAGGATTACCATGCAAGGCAGTGGAACAAGGGATTAAAACGTTACAAAAAAAAAAGTGAGCAAGCTAGAGTGGATATACAATGCAAGCCTGGAAAACCCAGAAGGCAGTTAGAATCCATGCAAGGGACCAGAGGGCACATTCTTTTGATACCCCATCCCATTGCCCACCCCTCTCCCCTTTTAAAAATCCTCTGTTTTGGATCTTAAATAACTGAATCAAGAGAGAGAGAGTTTCCAAGTTCCTTCCACTCCTGCCATAGTTGGCACTTGGGAGGTCTCAGGAAATGCCACTTGGTGACCACGACCATAGCCATAGGTGAAAGATCTCCCATAGACTAGAAAATTAAGCTGCCCATTATAATTACTGTCTTTCGTCGTTTTTAGACGGCATCTTCATATTTCTGGAAAACTCTTCCATTTAAAGACCAAAGATAAGCTACCAATGGGCACACCTTACTTTTAAATTTTATTTTTTTGTTGTTGTAAAACAAATATAGACCGAATTACTGAAAACTTACAAAATAAAGAAAAACCCCCCGCACGCCACCTTCCGAACACAGCGATGTTAATCATTAAGATTTTAATCGTCTCTCTGCGTCTTCCGGGCGTATCCTCGCACCTGGCATTTTGACTCGAGTGTACAGCGTTAGCGTCCGGGTGAGTCGTCGCCATGGTAACCGCGGAAGCCGGGGATCCCGGGAGCTGAGTGTACTGGGTCCGGGCGCCGAGGGCCCAGGTGGGCGTTTGGGGAATGGCTATCTCCCAGCCGGGCAGCTCGGGCGGGTTGGCGGGGAGGGAACTTGGCGGAGCGGGTCCCGCCTCGGGGATCCGGGAGGTGCCTGCGGGATTCAGGCCGAAAGGCGAACTCTGGTGCCCCCTTGGCAGGGCTGCCGCCCCCTATCCTCTTCCTCAGGCCTTCCCTTTGCTTAGCCCTGGGGACCTTCCAGAGCCGGGACAAGGGACTACATTGTAAAAAATCCAGTTGGTTTAAAAGACCCTTGAGCGCTATTCCTCCACTACGACCTCAGGCTGCCTTGACTGCCTCCTCGCTGTTTGTTTATGCTCCTCCTGTGACCCGGTTGTCCTTTTCTCCTCCTTTTAAGACGCCTACTCTTCAGTCCTGAAGGGTCACCTCTTCTGGAAAGCCTTTCCCGGACCTGCCAACTCTGAGTCTACTTGAGATGTCCATTCTCTACTCTCAAACACGCTTTGCTAATCTCCATTCTGTCCCATATCTCGGTCATTGCTGATTTACCGAGTCTTCCCCACTGGACGGTAAAGGCCAATGGGGCAAGGACCATGACCTATGTGGTTTCCTATTGTTAGTGCCTTAGCAGCCTCAAAAGAGTTCACACTCGAGAGTTCAAAGGAAAAGTCATGGGCTGTTCTCCACACTCGGTCAGCAAGGCAGAGCAGTGCTGTTCTCATTTCACAATCGCGTGTTGCCTGAGGCCACAGTTACCTCAAGGTTCCACAGCGGCAGATCCACTTCCACCTTCACTCAGTGGTTGTTGGTGAGTTTAATTCCTCTGGGCTGTTAGACTGAGGGCCTCGGTTCCTTACTGGCTCTTGGCTAGAGATTGCCCATGTCTCTCTTTCTTTTTTAAAAAAAATATATTCTATTGATTTTTTACAGAGAGGAAGGGAGAGGGATAGAGATTTAGAAACATTGATGAGAGAGAAACATCCATCAGCTGCCTCCTGCACACCCTCTGCTGGGGATGTACCCGCAACCAAAGTACATGCCCTTGTCTGTTGTAAGTGAATTATGGAAGTGACATCCCATCACATTAGAATAAAATCACTATATCCTGCCTTCTTCACGAGGAGAGAATTACACAAAGGTGTGAATACCAGGGTGCGGGGTGAGGGGCTTTGGGAGCCATGTCAGAGCTGCCTACCCCATGGAGTATGACTGTAATTTAATCACTCTAACTACTATATACTATCTTGTGCAACCATGTCACAGTTTATGCTCCTGTTAATGGGCACTGTTTTCCCCCCACCCAGGCTTTTTGCTCTATGAACAGTGATGCTACAAGCATTCTCACACATCTGCAGGGACCATGCCCCTCTTCTCTGTATCATTCCCAATTTAATATGTATTATGCCAGAGTGAGCACTGTGACGACTTCCATCTGGAATTAATCCTGTCCTTTGCAAATTTCCATAGCACTTCCTCTCATGTGATACTTACCATCTATCACCTTTTATTACACTTATTTTGCACAGGTCGCCTTTTTCCTTTAAAAAAAAAACTAAGTTGTTTAGGGCAGGAAATAAAGTTGATTCTTCTTCATAATTTACATAATACCTACACAGCACTTAGGATATTAGTAAGCTTTCAGTAACCATTACTGAGAGACTGAATTCTGTCTAAACATCAGTGCCTAATTTTTTAAGGTCTTCATAATCTGACTCCAATGATGCAACCATTTTTCACTTCTCCCCAGTATGACCCATGGTTAGGCAAGTGGGTTACTCTAACATCCTCTTTCAATCTTTCCCCAATGAGTCTAGCCTGCATTGCTCTCTATGGTTCCTATTGAATTTACTATGTATAGCACACGTTCAGCATTTTAGAATGTATTCAGGCAGTGCATCGACTGTATTGACTTCTGGTAGGTGCACAATAAACTTTGTTAGTTGAATGGATGAAATATTTTATAATTACTTTGAAGCCAGTTAAGAATTTTCATCCCATCTATATTGTCAGTGGACTGAATCAATCAATCAATAAATACCAATTTGTCTGAGTAGATTTTTATTACTTTTTTTTTGTTTCAGGTATTTTTGGAGTTAATGGATCTAGAAGAACCCCAAGGCTCAGAGAGTTCAGAAAAATCAGAACCTTTCTCACAGCAAGAAGAAGAAGAAGTTGAAGAAGGAGAAGAAGAAGAGGAGGAGGAGGAGGAGGAAGAAGAAGAGGAGGAGGAGGAGGAAGAGGAAGAGGAGGAAAAGACAGGCCTTCTTAATCCTCTCTTACAACCTGTTCTCACAGGGGATATAGAAGGTTTGCAGAAGATTTTTGAGGATCCAGAGAACCCTCTCTATGACCAGGCTATACAGCTCCTCTTGGAAAAAGACATTGTTGGAAGAAATTTGTTGTATACAGCTTGCATGGCTGGGCAGAGTGAAGTGATTAGAGTTTTGGCAAAATATGGTGCGGATCTGAATGACAACACAGCCAGAGGTATTTTGCCTTTTCTCTCACCAGTATTACTTATGACTACCTAAAGGTGGATAAATAGGATGTGCCTGCTTTATATTTTGCATATATAATGTATACACACATAGATAAGAATGTACGTGTGTGTATACGCGCTGATACGGTACAGCACAGTAGTTAAGAACACAGACTTCACTATTTGCTGTGTGACTTGGGCAAGTTACCCAATCATTTTGTGTCTCTCTTTTTTCATCTGCAAAATGGGGCTAATATTGTATTTTCCTCATAGGGTGTAACAATCAAATAAGGTAATTATAAATATCACAGTCCTTGGTACATAGTAAGTTGTAAACAGTAACTGCTCAATAATATTATTGCAATGACGATCTTGAAGAGTGTAGTCCGTTTGGCCTGACCGTCTTCATGCTGTTTGTCAGGTTATACACCCTTACACTGTGCTGCCGCCTGGGGTCGTCTGGAAACATTGAAAGTGCTTGTGGTGGAACTGGATGTTGATATAGAAGCTCTGAACTTCCGGCAAGAGCTAGCTCGAGACGTTGCTGCTCGGTATTCCCAGACCGAGTGCGTTGAATTCCTGGACTGGGCAGGTAAGGACACCCACAAGGTATCAGTAAGCTGACTGGTTCATTTGTATGTATGCTGTGCTTCCATCAAAGGTCAAAAAGCCATACTAATATTTTGTATATGTCATTTCCGCAGCCCTGTAGAATATGGCTTAGAGATTTGCATGCATACAAACATCGGTTAAAAAATTAGTAAATATCAAGTTCATGGCATTCATTTTATGTAGTAATTTGCACTCATGCTTTTAGCAAGCATTTAATAAATGCTCACTGAGCATTGTTGTAGGTACAATTGGTTGTTCCTGCCCTCTGGACATTTGTTGGGGGGGGTTGATAAACGGTAGGTACATATCAGTAATAAGATCAGCGAGACTATGATGAAGGGTTAAAAGCAGCAGAGCAGATCATCATACCTGCTTTGAAGTGGACAGAGGTCATGAAGTCAGAGCATGTTGGAGTTGAGCTGGGCCTTGAAGAATGGGTGGGATTTGAAAATACAATAGAAGGAAACGGGCATGAGCTAACTCCAAGAGCTGGGAGTGAAAGTGGCCTGTTTGAAGGACAGTGACAAGATTGCTTTACTGGAACGCAAGTCCTAGTTTGCACAGGTAAGCTGCAGAGTAATAAAAGCATAAGTACACGGGCTCTTGCCTCAGATTGCTTGAGTTTACATAGGGGTATCTCCACTTGAAACCTATGTGACCTTGGACCCCCCCCCCCCAAAAAAAAAAACAAACACAACAACACTCCACCCATTTTTGAAGAATGACCCATAGTACTTAAGAAACACAATCCAGGGACAGATTTTGCTGTTACTTTTCTGAAAAGAAACAGTTTGAGGCTTATGGGTGCGGAGTTTTATTGTTTTCCTGTCCCTAATATCCATCTGTTTTGTTTGGGTCCTTACATTCTCAGGGGAATGATACCTAACATTTCCTAGTGATGAAGATAAAAAAGGTGCTAATACTATCAACTCTTATTCTGTTTCCAGACCAGTGATAGAATTGTAAGGATTGTGGCTTCAAGTGCACGTAGCTCTGGAATGTCAGAGACACAAACTATTCAACATTTCATGTTTGTTTAATTCAGACTTCCACGTGTATAAGCCACTTCCATTCCCTGTTCTAGCGATTAGAGTAGGAGGCATCTGGAGAGGTTTAAGGGGTTGAGGACTCCCTAGCCCAGAGAGGCCTCTTCATACTGCTAAAATTCCACTGTTAGAAATTTCTTTGGGTTTTCGAGGTTTGGACACTTTTTAAGTGTTCAAGAGTCCTCCATTAAAAGAAAAATATATCAGCTTTCTCTGAGCAGGAATTAGTTGATAGTTCAGAACTCCAAAGGCATGGAACAAACATCTCTGGAAATGTGGGTAGAGTTGTGCTAAGGAAGCATGGAAAGGAGGAGGAGAGTCTGGAAAGTAGAACCATAAATAAACTTTAAAAGATATTTTTATTGATTTCAGAGAGGAAGGGAGAGGGAGAGAGAGATAGAAACATTAATGATGAGAGAGAGACATTGATCAGATGCTTCTTGCATGCACCACACTGGGGATCGAGTCCGCAACCTAGGCATGTGCTCTGACCGGGAATTGAACAGTGACCTCCTGATTCACAGGTCGAGGCTCAACTACTGAGCCATGCCGCTGGGCTATAAATTAACTTTTAACTCACAATAACCTAAGATGGACACTATTGCTTTCTATTACTTTGTAAAGACTATTTCTATTTCAAGGATTATTTTTTTCTAAATATATATTTTATTGATTTCAGAGAGGAAGGGAGAGGGTGAGAGAGCTAGAAACATCATTGATGAGGGAGAATCATTGATTGGCTGCCTCCTGCACACCCCCTACTGAGGATAGAGCCTGTAACCTGGGCATGTGCCCTTGACTGGAATTGAACCCAGGACCCTTCAGTCCCCAGGCCGACGCTCTATCCACTGACCCAAATCAGCGAGGGCCAAGGATTGTTTTTTAAATGTTATTGTAGACAATATTACAGATGTCCCTCCTACTCCCCCCTCCTTAAGTCCCCTCTACCCAGCCTTAGATCTTGCATATATTTCTGGGATTTTTCATGTTTTTAATCAAACTTTCTGTCCTAGTCTTAGATCAGTCTCCCAGTATTTGTTGGAAGATATGGTAACCATATTGTTAAAAAATTGAGATAGCCGAGCAACAAAACTCAGAAATTTAAAAAAAGTGTTGATACTCAATTCATCATTTATTATACTAAAAATGGAAAAAATAATATTAAAAAAATTAATCTGTTACTTGATACTTGCATACTATTCTAGCAAAGGGCATCTGAGATGAGAAATTAAGTTTTCTTGTGGCCATAACATTTGCTCAGGAAAGCAAGAAAAGTCACAAATATTATTTAAATTGGAGATTTGTTAAAACACTAAAGATTCTAATTTAAAGATCGATTAATGATTTGTAATGTGATGCATTAAAAAGAACAAAATACTTAAATCTGCAGTAGTGACTGTGGGCCGTCTTTTCCCCAGTACGTTAGAAAGTATGGATGCCTTTTCAGCTGAATAGAAATATCTTTAACTTGGACTTCTTTGCAAAATTTCAGTAAAGAATGTGGCAAAAAAATGAGAAAGGCTCACAGAGAACCATTTTGAACCTTATACGAGTTCTCTTCTAGGCGCTTTGCGTGGTCTCCATTTTGGACAGAACCACATTCACATGTTTTTGGTGTTCTCTGGTTCCTCCTCGGTTCTTGTACTTGAGCTTTCCGTGCTTGAATTTCTTAGACGAAGGACGCTGGGCCTTCCGGTCCAGGTACTCACTCATCATGGATGTCGTGGCCAACAGTTTGAAGAGTAGTGTGTCTATGTCATTGATGGACTGGCTTTCTGGTTCATTACCAACTGTGTCTATGGAGGCTTGTTTTTTCAGCTAACAGGGGGAAAAGCGAATGAAATTATAGGTTGTTTTCTTGCTGTAGTTCAAATTAAATTTTCTGGATAGCTGTACTGAAACACCACACCTTACTGATTTATATGAAAGAAAGGTCATTACAGAAAACAGGTCCGAGGGCAGAAGAAATGCTCTTTTGTGTCTGCCCCTGTGAAAGATGATAATAACCATTATCATCATCAACAAACATTTAAAAAGTGCTTTTTATGGTCAGAGCATTCTGCTGGGAGAAGCTATTTGAATATTAGCAAAATATTTCCCTTTACTAAACAGCTTCAAAGTATAATGCAGTAACATCAGGGTCATTTTATAGCAATATGTTTATTGTAAAAGTCAATGAGCTTTTAAGATTGCCTCAAAATATGGAGTCATCGGCAAAGTGGGAAATTAGTTAAAGAGTGCCATTTCCCAGAGAGTTATCCAAACTTTAGACATTAGTTTACAGTCCATTTAAAAAATACATGCCAACATTTACATACTTAGCCTTCTTAGATAGATCTGGAAGGAATCTAACAGATATCTTATTTCACATCCTTCATTTTATTGGTGAGGCAGCTGAGAAGGATCAAATGACTTACCTCTGGGCCCAGACAGGTAACTTCATTTCCTGTATGTTCTACTCATTGTAGCTCATTACTTTCTTGATGCATTTTCTAACTTGAAAGGGAGGGATTGTACTAGGTTATTTTAAGGACCTTCTAATTTAATACTGATTTGTTGAGCACCTACTATATGCCAGACACTGTGCTAGATGCTGGGGGTGAATGGCAGGGACTGCGGGAGATTGCAAAGAGGAAAAAGACGTCGTACTTTCCTTCAAAGAAGCTGGTAATCTTCTCTTTTAAACTCTGATATCCTATGACTACTACTATTTGCATCACTAACTTACCTCTTTCTTGTGTCTCTTCCACTTCATCCACAGGTAATGCACAGATAAAGCAAGCAGGATTAGAGAGATAGCTTGTCCTAAAATACATATGAGATATACAAGACTCGCAATTACATCCATATTAATAAAATTGCACCATAGTTTGTCCATAGGGTAAGGTAGACAGTGAGATGGAGAAGGTTCAACTTTTAGATAAAGCATTTCTTCAGGAAATATCTCCCATCCAACCTTAGCCCAGATAGTTCCATCACAAATGCAGGAATTTTCCTTCAATAAGCAGGCACACAACAGAAGAAACATCAGGGGTAGTTCTTGAATGGACATCTTTCTCAATTGTGATAAAAAAAAAAATCTATGGCCAAAACTCTGATCAGAGACAGAGCAGGGATGCCCTGAGTACTAGTTAAGAAGAACACGGAAGGTAGTCTTTCTACTTGGGAAAATAAACACTGCTGATCATTGTGACATCAGCAGTCAGTGATTCATGGACAGAGTCAGTGACATCATAACCACATTGGAACTAAAAGGTGTTACTTAGCCAGTTACCTGGGGATACTTTTTCTTGCTTTATACTAGAATTATTTAAGCTACTTCAATTTTATGAAAAATGAAGACTTTACTAATGTCTTGCTAGCTAATTAATTAAAACTATAATCATATTAATGGAGTTTCATGGAAACAATTTACCTATATCCCTTCCAACCCTTCTCAAGTATGGCTGTTTTATATCTGCTTAAAAAATATCTGTAGCTATGCCATTTTACACAACCTACAATCGCGTCTGTTTTTCACTCGGAAATATTCTTCCTTTCAAATTAAGCAAAAAAAGTACCTATACCTTTTAACCTATGCCCATTAGGTAGTGGGTGAGGGGTGGGGAATTTGGCATGGCAGAAAGCTTAGCTGAATTAGAAGTGAATGTGGACATTTAGCTGAAGGGATTTCGAAGCCAAGTGTTGAAGACAGGACCTGGTTTCTTTCTGTTGCTCCGAGTAAAATGTGAGAGGGGTAAGATAAATTGAGGAGAGAACCTGCTATGGAAAGGAAAACAAGACTTGATGTTTTGGGAACTTCTCAGCCTATCGGGATCGCAAAACTGCTAACACGAGGAGATTCACTGTCAGGAAGGTGTGCTCTGGAGGGAAAGCCAGGGGTGTGGCCACCCCATGTTCTGCTGGTGCTGAGAGCTCAGGCTTAGGGTCCCCGCAGCCCTCTCAGCAGAAGTCAGGCCAGAAAGGAGATTGTCCAGGAGGACCCGTGGCGGAGCCTCTAGTGTAATGGAATGACTCTGTGACATGCAGGGAGACTCAAGGATTTTGTGGATGTTATACCAGCAGACACACTGCCAGTTTGGACAAAGGGACGAAGAAAGAACAAAATGGAAAAAGGCTGCCAGGCCCCCCAAAGTCTACACGCCGGAACTGACCGATGAAACTATTCAGCTGCAAAAGCGTGCTACGGGTCATGAAGAGGGAAGGATGGCTCTGCTGGAGCTGCAGGCCGAGGGGGGAGCCTTGCTCTGCAGAGGGTTATTCCCAGGCCTTGACACATAAGAGTTTGCCACGTGGGATTTTGAAATTACTAGGGACGAGTGACTCCTTTTTTTCTTCTATTTTCTCCCGTTTTGAATGGCAGTGTCTACAACTGTTACTCGGTGCCTGTCCCATCCCTGTATTTGGGGAGTACAGAACGTGTTTTCTAGTTTCAGGGGTCTCCAGATGGAGAGGAATTCTACCCCAGGGAGGAAGGGTCATACCGAAGTCTCACCCAGGTTTAGATCAGCGGTTCTCAACCTTCCTAATGTTTCAACCCTTTAATACAGTTCCTCATGTTGTGGTGACCCCCAATTTCATTGTTACAAATTGAACATAATTAAAGCATAGTGGTTAATCACAAAAACAATATGTAATTATATATGTGTTTTCCAATGGTCTTAGGTGACCCCTGTGAAAGGGTCGTTCGACCCCCAAAGGGGTCGCGACCCACAGGTTGAGAACCGCTGGTCTAGATGCTTTAGATGATGAGATTTGAGATGTGTGAGCTGATGATATTTTCAATGAACATTAGGACATTAATTGATGCTGTAATGGGTTGAGACTTTTGGATGCGGGGATGGGGTAAATGTAATTTGCATGTGGGATAGCTGTGAATTTTGGAAGGCCAGAGGGCCCCAAATGCTGTGCTGGTTGAGTTGTTATCTTTCTTGAAATTCAATAAAAACAAACAAAAAAAATCTCCTCCACACAGTCCCTTTCAAGCTCTGGGTATGTAACAGTCCATTACAAACAGTTGAGCACATTTTTTGGTCTTTGTCTTATTTGTGTACATCTTTCTGCCTATTCTTTCAGCTGCAAGGCTGGCTCTGAAAAGATATATCGCAAAGGTCTCTGCCACTCTTACAGAATCAGAAAAGGGACCAGGGAGACTCTTCAAAGAAGACAAGGTACTACATTGTGATCATTGTTTGTTCTGAAGTCTGAGATTTTAGCCTTATAGCTTGAATTTTATGCTAAAGTTCCAGAGGTAGGTGGCGGTCCTTACTGCTCTCTTCTTCCATTTTCCTTCCCTCCTCCCCTTCTTTCCTTTCTTTCTTAATGACTGATAAGAGATGAACTAATACAAAGTAATGAAAGGCAGTGCCCTCGGCAGTCCCGGATCTGTTTCTTGCTTCAAAAGTGTTTGGACAGAACAGACCCAGGGACGCCCCTTCTCGCAGCCTCCGGCCACCCTCCTGCGTCTTATCCAGTCACCACCATCAGCACCACCTCCGGGACCAGCCAACACACCGGCTTCTTTTCTACCTTAACCCCTTATCACCGAACAACCATGAGCTCCCAGATCCGTCAGAATTATTCCACCGACGTGGAGGCTGAGGTCAACCGCCTGGCCCCCCTGCCTCTGCGGGCCGCCCACACCTACCTCTCTCTGGGCGAGATGGTGGAGATGGGCGAGATGGCGGAGAAGCTCCCAGCGTGGTGGCCGCACTCTCTCCCAGGACACGCTGAGGCCTCCCCAAGGTGAGTGGGCAGAACTCAGGGCGCCAAGGAAGCCACCTGTGGCCCTGGCCTGGAGAGGAACCTGACCAGGCCCTGGTGGACCTGCAGGCCGGGGTTCTGCCCCCGCAGACGCTCAGCTTTGAAGTCCTGCAGAGCCACTTCCGGGTGAGGAGGTGAAGCTCATCAAGAAGATGGGCCACACCTGGCTCCCTCCGCAGGCTGCGGCCCCAGGCTGGGCGGGCGAGTGGCTCTAGGAAAGGCTCAGCCTCCAGCACCACTAGGAGCCTGTGGAGCCCGGAGGCCTGTGAGGGGCCCCTCTGCCTCCCCTGGGGTCTGGCTTTTACCTGAGCCTCTCCCCGAAACTACTGGCCATTCTTTTAACCACCCTGAAGCCCTCTCCCATGCATTGGACCAAACGAAATAATAAAGCTTTTGAGGGAAAAAAAAGTAATGAAATCATATTAAAGAGTGACATAGAGATGTACTAAGTAAATATCTCACCCAACAACATGAATGAATCTTAGAACTGAGTGAAAAAAAATGTACCAAAGACTACATAGATTTTTACAAAGCTCAAAAGCAAGCAATATCAAGCTATATTGTTAGGGATGCCAACATATGGGGTAAAACTATTTTAAAAGGAAAGCAAAGGTATAAGCCTCTTGGATGTGGATGGGGGGGGGGCGGCAAGCTCAAAAGCAAGCAATATCAAGCTATATTGTTAGGGATGCCAACATATGGGGTAAAACTATTTTAAAAGGAAAGCAAAGGTATAAGCCTCTTGGATGTGGATGGGGGGGGGGCGGCGGTGGGTCAGGAGGGGCACAGAAGCAGGGTTAATAGTCCTGCAGGTGTCTGTCTGCATCTTCTATTGTTTGGAGAGGTCCAACGATACTCATTACTTTGCTTCAAACCAGATCTGCATCATGTAGTTTAGTGTATATGAACATATCCAGTACATGCGTTTATTAATGTGTCACCGTTTACATAATGGTATAAAAGATGCATAGCTATAAAGATAGCGTGCCATACTGGCTGCGTACTGAGTGCTGCGTGTGGACTAGTGCACTGCTTTTTGGAGAGGTCCAACGATACTCATTACTTTGCTTCAAACCAGATCTGCATCATGTAGTTTAGTGTATATGAACATATCCAGTACATGCGTTTATTAATGTGTCACCGTTTACATAATGGTATAAAAGATGCATAGCTATAAAGACAGCGTGCCATACTGGCTGCGTACTGAGTGCTGCATGTGGACTAGTGTACTGCTTTGGATGCACACACACACACACACACACACACACACACACACGATATACTCAGGGTGTCAGGAATGTGTTTTGGTTTTGTTTCCTGCATTTCTCTGCAGGATGTGCTGAGAACTTTCTTGTGACTTTCTGATGAAAAGAATGAGAGATTGCTAAAGCATAGAGGTCTCCAAGTCTGGGAACGTGATTAAGTTACACATTTCACTCGTGGTTTATAAAGCACTTTACAAGATCTCTTATGAAACCAACAAAGCATAGGCAAGATTAAGCTCATAGAGTCATGAAGTAGCCACCACTTTTTCAGTACTCAGTGGCCATAAATGTTACACATGTAGCTGTATTGGGCAATGCAGACACAGATGATCACAGAACGTTCTGGTAGGCAGTGCTGGTATAGAGAGATACAGAGTTTTATTTTTCAATAAATAAGTAAATTTTCTGGGTCTGTCTCTAGAATAACATCCTCACTGCATGCCGTATAAGAAGTGAGTGGTTGGAAACCCAATTGGAAGCTTCGATCAATGAGATTTTTGAGCAGAAACAACAATTGGAAGATATTGTGACTCCTATCTTCACAAAAATGGCCACACCACGTAAGTTTGGGATAAAAAGTGGTTTGAATGTCAGAAATATGGTGACAGAAGGAGACTTGACTGTGGGTCAACAAATGCAACATACAGATGATGTATTACAGCATTGTACACTCAAAACCTATACAGTTTTATTAACGAGTGTCACCCCAATAAATTTAATAGAAATCTTAAAAACTGTCTTCGTTTGTGTTTTATATTGCAAACTGATTAAACGGACCTTTAAAAATCTGCTTCCTTTCAGGTCAAGTGAGAAGTCCCAAATCTGTAGCCTAAGCCTTGCTCAGAAAAGAAGCCAAAACCATGCCTTCTACTGAACAGACACGTTATAAAAAGCCACATTTTCTTCTAGCATTTGTAAAGTCACACCTATTCATGACAACTGAGGTTGAGAACATAGATGTGGGGTTTTATAAAAATGTTTAAGTGTGAAATGTGACCACCCTTGTTCTGTTTTACCTTCGTCAGCGTGCTCACGTCCGGACTCTGACCTTGACTGCTCCCCTGGGTGCAAGCCCCTGTGAGCTCCACCTGCTCCTTCCAGAGAGCGCTTGGGTGTGAGTCACTCACACAAACCATAGGGAAGCTTTAAAAGCTGGTTAGAGAATCTGATAACCTTCTGTGTAATGAGGCAGGAAGTTTCCGTTCAGTTAAAGAATTCTTTTAAGAGAAGACATAGTGGCTATTTCCAGAGGCAATTTTTTTCTCCCTCTCTCAAAAGGAAGTTATGGGATGTCATTCTGGAGCAAGGAACTATTAAAAGGAGTTTGGATCAGGATCCTCAGCTCATACAACTATTACTTTTTATGTTCAAATTAAGATTTACCTGTAAGGTGGGATATAGTCTCTTAATACACCTTCTTATTTGTCTTTAGCCCCATTCTGTCTTTGAATTAATAAGCACAAATATGTTTAGTTTTATATTTAGATGTCTTCTATTCTGTAGGATTGGCAATGCAGCTATAATACCTGGACTCCACGTCAATTTACCTTCTGTTTGTTTTTTTTTTACATTTTCTAGATTTTAAATATCATAGTTGGTTTCATATTAGTGATTTAGAATATTTGGAAATTTTTTTTTCCTAGTTTATCCAAAAGCCCCTGATCTACTACTCTATGACTTTCTGGAAAACTTTTACAAAAGAAAATATTTGTTAAATATATTTTATTGATTTTTTACAGAGAGGAAGGGAGAGAGATAGAGAGTTAGAAACATCGATGAGAGAGAAACATCGATCAGCTGTCTCCTGTACACCCCCCACTGGGGATGTGCCCGAAACCAAGGTACATGCCCTTGACTGGAATTGAACCTGGGACCCCTAAGTCCGCAGGCCGACGCTCTATCCACAAAGCCAAACCGGTTAGGGTGAAAGAAAATATTTTTTAAAAACCACATTTATTTGTTTTTTCTTATGAGTTTCTCTTTGTCACACCCTGAAAGCTAGTTTTTATTATAGAGGCAAAGGAAAAGAAATAAGCAATTCAGCAATTCCATCGCAGCTGTGGTTTTGAGGTAACACTATTTTAAACTTGTCTCTCAAATGTTAAAATTTTGAGATCTTTTTTATGTCTGAGCGATTCAGTTGCCTTAAGCAATAGGACAGGCAGTACCCCTCACTCCCGTCTTCAGTAGATGCCGCGGGTGTTTGGGGAGGAATAGAGAGAAGGAGCTCTGTGTTTGCTCTGTTCTCTCCTGTCTGTGTGTTGTGAGAAGTCCATTACCTTTAAGCACTGCAGTAATTTGGGACAAGCCCTGGTGCCATGTTTGCTCTCTCTAATTCTATGTCTTCTGAGCCTTGCTCTTGAATATGACATTGCTCTCCAGGCATGTGGTCTCCGTGACGAGGAAGGACTCCCGAGCCTCACTGCAGAGAATCTAGGTGAGGCTGAGGCACTTCTGGAGACTCCAAGATAAAATTAGCCCCTCTCTCCTTTATTCACCTTTTAGTCATTATCCTCAGATATGTGTAGCTTTCGATCCACTTGCTAATGCTGACTTCCTGAAACTCTCTGTATTGGCACTTTATGCCCTTAATGGTTTCTTTACATCAAGCATGTCAAACTCAAAGGCTAACACGGGCCAAATAAACGAGGTTTAAGTTTATGTGGGATGGGGAAACCCTATGAGGTAAAATAGAACAAGAAATGTAATCTCCCCTGACCTGTTTGGCTCAGTGGATAGAGCGTCAATCTGCGGACTGAAGGGTCCCAGGTTTGATTCCGGCCAAGAGCACATGCCTGGGTTGCGGGCTTGATCCCCAGTAGGGGGCTTGCAGGAGGCAGTCGATCAATGATTCTCTCTCATCATTGATGTTTCTATCTCTCCTCCCTTCCTCTCTGAAATCAATAAACAAATACATTTTTTAAAGAAGAAAAAGCTTAAAAAAAAAAAGAAACGTAGGTTTACTTTGATAGACATGCTGAATACAAAGGGCTGAAATAAACGAGTAATTGTTAACATAAAATAATAGAACATTTTAATAAAAATTAATCTTTTTTCTTGAACGTTAACTTACCAGACACTAAATAACTGCACAAAAAGCGTAACACAAATAAACCTATTTTTCTTGTTCTCCAAAAACGAAATATTTCCTGTTGCGCACACCAATCAAGCCAGTACAAGACTAATGATGTGCCAATTGGCTGCTAAAATATTCACTGCTGCCCTGACCAGTTTGGCTCAGTGGATGGAGTGTCGGCCTGCGGGCTGAAGGGTCCCGGGTTCGATTCCGGTCGGGGGCATGTGCCTTGGTTGTGGGCACATCCCCGGTGGGAGGTGTGCGGGAGGCGGCTGATTGATGTTTCTCTCCCATCGATGTTTCTGGCTCTCTGTCCCTCTCCCTTCCTCTCTGTGGAGAATTGGTGAAATATATTAAAAAAAATAAAAAAAAATAAAATATTCACTGCTAGTATTAGTGGAGAGGCACATAAGGGAAATGAATGCAACACAATTATAGTAATCAGTCATTAGCGAACATTGTAGTTTGTTATTAATCCTATATAATAAAAGGCTAATATGCAAATCAACCAAACAGGGGAACGACCGGTAGCTATGATGTGCACTAACCACCAGGGGGCAGACACTCAACGCAGGAGCTGCCC